ACACACACACACACACACACACACACACACACACACACACACACACACACACACACACACACACACGCGCGCATATATATATATCAAATATATATAAACGCAATGTTGTTAAATAAATAAATGAATAAATAAAAACATACGTGTATATTTATTGAAATTCAACGATTTATTCATGTTCTAACCGTTGAATTTCTGCCTCTATTCTATCACGTAAAAACACCCACACACGTACAGCACTTACACTTACAGCACTTACACACTTACAGCAGCGCACTACACCGCAGCTTTTATTCAACTTGCAGTTATAGTCTGTTAACCTCGCAGCAGAAGTTCCGAGAAAACTGTCGAATGATAGCCGAAACATACGCCTAAACGACCGGGTTGAAGCCCTAACAGCGATAACGACTATTGTTCGCTGGCCGTCCCTCGGGCCTCCCCATATAACATCCAACACGCGTCGCAGCAATCTCCTTTACGATTACCGCAAGAGCGCGAATTTCTGTTGGGACGGAATATTTACCAGGCTCGACAGCTATATATGCGGCAGTGTTTAGAATATTGTCAGGTTTAGCTGGGTGTGTGTGTGCGTATGCATCGATTGGCGTGTCAGCCTCCCAGCCTCTCTATTGAGAGGCGATGGATGAAGTACGAGTCACGTGCGAGCAATTGAACGCGGTGTTCGCTCAAGTGCCTGCCATCATGGAGACACTTAACTATATACAGTATCTGTGCATCGGTATATAGCTAGGTTCGCTAAATATAGAAAGAGTCAATTCGGCAGCTGTTGTTTCCAGGAGCAGGACGCGGCTTCAGCTTAAGATATGCTAGCGTGAGTTAACTGCTTAGTGAGGGCGGTTATAGAGCGAAGGAAAAACAAGCAAGCGTTGGTAGGAGTCTTGTGTGCTTGGTTACATTTTCCGTGAAGTCGATGTGTAATCTGTGAATATAACTGGGTTGCCCCAGCGCGCGCGTGCAGACGAGAGTGTGCGTGCGTGCATATACACGTCCGTGTGCGTGCGCGCATATACACGTCCGTGTACGTGCGTGCATATACACGTTCGTGTGCGTGCGTGCACGTACACGTCCGTGTACGTGCGTGCATAAACACGTCCGTATGCTTGCGTGCATATTCACGTCCATGTGCGTGCATGCGTGCATATAAACGTCCGTGTGCGTGCGTTCATATACACGTCCGCGTGCGTGCATGCGTGCATATACATGTCCGTGTGCGTGCGTGCATATACACGTCCGTGTGCGCGTGTGTGCATAAGTGCATTCGTGTCTGGGTGTGGACGTGTGCGTGCGTGTGCGTGCGTGCATACGTACGTCAGTGCGTGTGTGCGTGTGCATGTGTGCCTGGGTGTGGACGTGTGTGTATATGCGCGTATGCTTGACTATGTTATTCAATATCTCTTTGTTTATGCATAGCAGCATAGGAATGCAGCAGAAATAGATGATTGATGCATGCTGCATTGAACGCAGAGATGTAATGGGCGCAACTACATTATTAGGAGTCAATTTTCATCATATCTCCTGATAATAACATTCACGAAGAATCCCTCTTGGGAGAATATATAATCGACATTAACGCATGCGCCGCCACGCACATACGCTTGTACACACGCAGACACGCACCACGCATGCACGCGTGCACACGCTGACTCATAATTGTATGCATTTTTATTATATATATATATAAAGAGAATATATATATAGAAAGAGAGAGAGAAAGAGAGAAAAAGAGACAGAGACAGAGAAAGAGAGAGAGAGCGACAGGCAGAGAGAAAGAGA